ATGGGATGGGATGGGATGGGATGGGATGGGATGGGATGGGATGGGATGGGAGAGCAGGGGTCATTCTCCTGTACACGTGTGGATCAATGCAGTTACTTGACGGGAGGAGGAGAGATGACGTAGATGGAGCGAGGATGGGACGAAGGTGGTTGCATGTACAATAGTCTTGAGCAGGAGTGAAGATTTTATCAAGAAAGGATTTTGGACATTGAAGCTGAGGACCAGATTCATTTCTAGATCTACAGGAAGAACCTGATAATTAGCTCAGGGATATGTGAAATAGTATTACAAACGAAGTTCTGCATAGCGGACTAAAATGGCAGAGTCCCATAGCTATTGCCTTAATCTCACCTCTTATCCCTTCAGGATGTCGAGGACAGCGAGAGACTATCGCAAACCAGCGGACTCGTCTCGGTCAGCCTCAAAACTTTTCGATGGGTTTCAATCTCCATCTTGGGACCCTGCTGTCTCTTCGCTTGATGTTTCCGGCGAGCACTCAGGGTCTTCCAGCAAGATGTACGTCTCTGTGCTTGGTCTTTTCTCCTCCCGATCGACCTTTCACCTCAGGCTTGCGTTGCTGTACGAGGAGCGGGAGGAGAAGCGGCGGCTGCTGCACTTGATGAGGTCAGCAGGAAGTGAAGGCGGTAGCCTGCAAAGATCCGACTCGTCTCGCACCCAACGACATCCCTTGTGGTCCAAGACCCCCCGGTCGAGCGCTCTCGAAGATCCTCCCTCGACCCCGCAAGACTCAGTGGTAGCCTACGAATTTTGACGCAGTCGTGCTGATGGATCTGTCCACAGAGGAATGGCGACGCTGAGGGCGGAGGCTTCGGCTTCCCCAATCGAATCCTCTCTCTCTTTTCCACCTCCAAGAATTCGGACAGCATCAACCGCCAAGACCCATCGACCGGTATGATGACCTTGATGTTTCCCTCTGTACCGTGAAGGCTGTATCTAGGTACCAACATGGAGGACCTGGGCAAGAAGTACTTCAAGTTCAGGAACAAGAGTGACCATGCCGACGACGAGCTTGAAGCAGCTTTGAGCCAAGTAGAAGTGCTTCAGCAGGTGGACGCGCTGATCTCGAATGATTTTTTGGTCGCTCATCTTTGAAGCAGGTCCAGGCGAAACTTGAGAAAGCGCTAGAAGAGGAGCGACGCCAGTCGTTGAGGAAAGACTATCAAATCAACGACCTGAAACGTGAGCCTTGCTCGGCAAGCCCCTCACCGCTGACAAGCTTCCCTCTAGGTGAGAGGAAGCTGCTAGTGGACAAATGCGTCAGCCTGGGATCAGGAGCAGCAGACTCTCGCTCTGGCGACAGTCTTCTGACGCCTGCGAAGACCAACGTGAATGATCCTGGCATGTTGCACTCGCAGCAAGTCCAACGAGATAACCAAAACAAATCAATAGCCGACAATTTTGAATTGAGAAGACCGAATAAGGATCAGCTTGATCTTGAGGCAGCGTTGAAGCATATTCAGGACTTAGAAGCAGCTCTGAGTCAAGAAAGGAAGGAGAAGGATCATGCCATTGAGAGACAGATTCAACTTCAGAAGATTGTCTCGCAAAATGTCTCCCTGATCAAAGAAGATACAATCAAGGCTAAACAAGGAGCAAGAGAGCAAAGCAATGCCAGCCCCAAACAAACCTCAACTCCCAGCTTTTCACTACATTCCGCCCTTACCCAAGAGAAATATTTACATGAAGAGCTAGGGAAAGCTAAAGAAGAAATGAAAAAACTCAATGAGGAGTTGCAGAAAAAAGAACTAATGGTTTCTGAGCAACGCAAGGAAATTGAGCGATTGAAGGCCGACATGAAAAATCTCGATACTGATTCCAAGAATTCAATGGAAAAAACTTTGCTGTATCATACAGAAGAATTGAAAAAACTTCAAGACGAAACGACAAACAGCAAGAGGCAAAGAAATGAAGAAAACGAGCGACATCAACAAGAGGTGAAGGCTCTACAAGCGCAGCTGGAGGCGGCAAGGAAGGAGGCAGGCCAGGCAGAGAAGAGCAAGGATGAGAAGACAGCCGAGCTGGAGAAGGCTGTAGCGGCGGCACAATCGAGTGCGAAGGAGGCGGAAGCGACGAAGAACGCGATTGCGCTGGATCTTGAGGAGGCGATGACAGCGCTCAAGTCTCTACACCTGGCGATCTGCCGTCAGGGACCAGCTCCGGCAGTGGGAGGGATCGGAGTAGCGCTGGGGACGGAGACGATGAAGCTGCAAGGGAAGTCAAGGAAGGTGGTGAAGATCAACCAGATGGCGACGACGGGACCCGCAGCTCAGAGCGGGGCGGTGAAGGTAGGAGACGTGATCCTGGAGCTAGACGGGCGAGACGTGACATCGCTGGACGTGAAGTCGGTGAAGGAGCTGACCAAGGGAGTGACGGGATCGCCGCTGCGGCTCAAGGTGCTTCGAGGAGGGGCAGCGCACGACGTGGTGATCCGGAGGTCAGACCTGGTGTCTGGGTCACTGCCAGCAAGCAGCGATGCTGGGAGCTCAGTCGGGGGCTCGAGCGGGGCTATGCCTCAAGGGGGAGCAGGGAGAGAGCCAAGCGCGTCAGAGAGGGGCAAGGAGGGATGCGAGGCGGCGGCGGTGCTGTACGAGGAGCTGGAGAAGCTCCGCGCGGGAGTAGAAGCGTCGGCGAAGGAGCTGAGCGACGCGCGGGAGGAGCTGAGCAAGGCTCGGGAGCAGGGAGCAGCAGGAGAAGGGAAAGCAGCGAGCCTGGAGCGGGAGGCAGAGGCAGCGAAGGCAGAGCTGGAGAAGGCAGCAGGGAGGGCGCGGAGCCTTGAGGAGGAGGTGAAGGCTCTACAAGCGCAGCTGGAGGCGGCAAGGAAGGAGGCAGGCCAGGCAGAGAAGAGCAAGGATGAGAAGACAGCCGAGCTGGAGAAGGCTGTAGCGGCGGCACAATCGAGTGCGAAGGAGGCGGAAGCGACGAAGAACGCGATTGCGCTGGATCTTGAGGAGGCGATGACAGCGCTCAAGTCTCTACACCTGGCGATCTGCCGTCAGGGACCAGCTCCGGCAGTGGGAGGGATCGGAGTAGCGCTGGGGACGGAGACGATGAAGCTGCAAGGGAAGTCAAGGAAGGTGGTGAAGATCAACCAGATGGCGACGACGGGACCCGCAGCTCAGAGCGGGGCGGTGAAGGTAGGAGACGTGATCCTGGAGCTAGACGGGCGAGACGTGACATCGCTGGACGTGAAGTCGGTGAAGGAGCTGACCAAGGGAGTGACGGGATCGCCGCTGCGGCTCAAGGTGCTTCGAGGAGGGGCAGCGCACGACGTGGTGATCCGGAGGTCAGACCTGGTGTCTGGGTCACTGCCAGCAAGCAGCGACGCTGGGAGCTCAGTCGGGGGCTCGAGCGGGGCTATGCCTCAAGGGGGAGCAGGGAGAGAGCCAAGCGCGTCAGAGAGGGGCAAGGAGGGATGCGAGGCGGCGGCGGTGCTGTACGAGGAGCTGGAGAAGCTCCGCGCGGGAGTAGAAGCGTCGGCGAAGGAGCTGAGCGACGCGCGGGAGGAGCTGAGCAAGGCTCGGGAGCAGGGAGCAGCAGGAGAAGGGAAAGCAGCGAGCCTGGAGCGGGAGGCAGAGGCAGCGAAGGCAGAGCTGGAGAAGGCAGCAGGGAGGGCGCGGAGCCTTGAGGAGGAGGTGAAGGCTCTACAAGCGCAGCTGGAGGCGGCAAGGAAGGAGGCAGGCCAGGCAGAGAAGAGCAAGGATGAGAAGACAGCCGAGCTGGAGAAGGCTGTAGCGGCGGCACAATCGAGTGCGAAGGAGGCGGAAGCGACGAAGAACGCGATTGCGCTGGATCTTGAGGAGGCGATGACAGCGCTCAAGTCTCTACACCTGGCGATCTGCCGTCAGGGACCAGCTCCGGCAGTGGGAGGGATCGGAGTAGCGCTGGGGACGGAGACGATGAAGCTGCAAGGGAAGTCAAGGAAGGTGGTGAAGATCAACCAGATGGCGACGACGGGACCCGCAGCTCAGAGCGGGGCGGTGAAGGTAGGAGACGTGATCCTGGAGCTAGACGGGCGAGACGTGACATCGCTGGACGTGAAGTCGGTGAAGGAGCTGACCAAGGGAGTGACGGGATCGCCGCTGCGGCTCAAGGTGCTTCGAGGAGGGGCAGCGCACGACGTGGTGATCCGGAGGTCAGACCTGGTGTCTGGGTCACTGCCAGCAAGCAGCGATGCTGGGAGCTCAGTCGGGGGCTCGAGCGGGGCTATGCCTCAAGGGGGAGCAGGGAGAGAGCCAAGCGCGTCAGAGAGGGGCAAGGAGGGATGCGAGGCGGCGGCGGTGCTGTACGAGGAGCTGGAGAAGCTCCGCGCGGGAGTAGAAGCGTCGGCGAAGGAGCTGAGCGACGCGCGGGAGGAGCTGAGCAAGGCTCGGGAGCAGGGAGCAGCAGGAGAAGGGAAAGCAGCGAGCCTGGAGCGGGAGGCAGAGGCAGCGAAGGCAGAGCTGGAGAAGGCAGCAGGGAGGGCGCGGAGCCTTGAGGAGGAGGTGAAGGCTCTACAAGCGCAGCTGGAGGCGGCAAGGAAGGAGGCAGGCCAGGCAGAGAAGAGCAAGGATGAGAAGACAGCCGAGCTGGAGAAGGCTGTAGCGGCGGCACAATTGAGTGCGAAGGAGGCGGAAGCGACGAAGAACGCGATTGCGCTGGATCTTGAGGAGGCGATGACAGCGCTCAAGTCTCTACACCTGGCGATCTGCCGTCAGGGACCAGCTCCGGCAGTGGGAGGGATCGGAGTAGCGCTGGGGACGGAGACGATGAAGCTGCAAGGGAAGTCAAGGAAGGTGGTGAAGATCAACCAGATGGCGACGACGGGACCCGCAGCTCAGAGCGGGGCGGTGAAGGTAGGAGACGTGATCCTGGAGCTAGACGGGCGAGACGTGACATCGCTGGACGTGAAGTCGGTGAAGGAGCTGACCAAGGGAGTGACGGGATCGCCGCTGCGGCTCAAGGTGCTTCGAGGAGGGGCAGCGCACGACGTGGTGATCCGGAGGTCAGACCTGGTGTCTGGGTCACTGCCAGCAAGCAGCGACGCTGGGAGCTCAGTCGGGGGCTCGAGCGGGGCTATGCCTCAAGGGGGAGCAGGGAGAGAGCCAAGCGCGTCAGAGAGGGGCAAGGAGGGATGCGAGGCGGCGGCGGTGCTGTACGAGGAGCTGGAGAAGCTCCGCGCGGGAGTAGAAGCGTCGGCGAAGGAGCTGAGCGACGCGCGGGAGGAGCTGAGCAAGGCTCGGGAGCAGGGAGCAGCAGGAGAAGGGAAAGCAGCGAGCCTGGAGCGGGAGGCAGAGGCAGCGAAGGCAGAGCTGGAGAAGGCAGCAGGGAGGGCGCGGAGCCTTGAGGAGGAGGTGAAGGCTCTACAAGCGCAGCTGGAGGCGGCAAGGAAGGAGGCAGGCCAGGCAGAGAAGAGCAAGGATGAGAAGACAGCCGAGCTGGAGAAGGCTGTTGTTCGTGTACAGAAAGAAATGAGCTCTTGCTTTTCGATGTCTATCTCTCAGCTTAAGTCTTCTTTCCAGTCGATCGTCTCATCCTTGTTCTCGAAGGCACTCATGTTGGAACAGGAAGTAGATCTGATTGCCAGGCAGTACCATGAGGAGAGAAGCTGCTTTTCGACAGGACAGAAGAATTTGGAAGATGCGAATGCAAGATGTGAAGAGTTGACAGCGAGGTGTGAGAGACTGGAGGACTTGCTGCGGGTTTCCGATGCAGCGAAGCGAGAGCTTGAGGCTCAGGTCAATGCCAAGGAGGAGAAAGTGGAGGCGTTGGCTAAGGAGATAGAGAATGCCAAGTCGTTGGCCAAGAAACTTGCATCCTCGCACAAAGAGGGCAACCAAGCAGTTCGGCAACTGGAAAGTGACAAGGCGGGGGCTGAAGAGAAGTTGAACAAGCTCCAAGCAGAGTACGAGGAGTTACAGAAAGAAGCGAGTTCAAGGCAGGCAGGATTGGAGGCCGAGGTTGAGAGTCTTGGAGGGAAGCTGTCGAGGCTTGAGGCGCACTGCGAGGAGACGGAGCAGCAGCTTCGCGAGTCTCATGACAAGTTTTCGCGGGTCTCTCTTGACCTGGGCGAAACCATGAAAGCGCTGACTAGTCTGCACGCGACGATCGCCGAGGCGGAGGAGAGAGCTCTGGGAGGCATCGGAGTTGCGATCTCTCAAGGTCAAGAGGAGGAGCCGGTCAAGATCTGTCAAATTGCTCCTGGGAGTCCAGCGGCAGAGAGCGAGCGGGTGAAAGCAGGAGATGTCATTCTCAGCTTGGACGGGATCCAAGTCGCTCAGCTCGGGGTCCGCAGGATTCGGCAGATGATCAAGGGCCCAGTCGGTTCACCGCTCACGATCAAGTGCAGGGCTGGGGACCGTGACGAGGAGTACCAAGTGACTTTACAGCGTTATATCCCCACCGGCGACACTTCAGGCCAGCAGGCGGTGGAGCTGATGAGCAAGTCTGGGTGCGAGACGGTCAAGAAGCTAGTCAAGGAGATGGAGGCTCTGCGTGAGCTCGCCTTGCAGGATGACACAGCTGCTGGTGCGAGGCACGGGCTGCTCGCGTTGACGGCTGAGCAGGAGAGTCTGAAGCACAAGATCCAACTCTGCCTGCAGTTGTTGGAGGGCACGAAGACTTGGCTGCACGCGTCGCACCCCAAGGACAGTGAGATAGCGCGACGAGCTGCCTTGGAGAACAGCGAGCTTCTCCGCATCCTCCAGGACGTCAGCTCAGAAGCAGCTGAGGGCGACGAGGCGAGGTCGGTCGTGTCGGACACCAGCTTGACCTCTGCCGCTACCAACACCTCAGCTGGCCGCATGTGCGGTGTTGGTATGCGAGTGACGAACTCGACGCCCCATCGCGTCGTCTCCTTCCTGCCCCACGGGCCCGTCGGTCGCTCTGGCCAGGTGAAGGTTGGAGACTTCCTGGTCGCCATCGATGGCGAGTCTATAGTGAACAAGAGCATCAAAGAAGTTCGGAGGATGATGACGGGAGTCGAGGGCTCCGAAGTTGAGATCAAGTTCGCGTCTACTAAGAATGGTGAGCAGTCGACATACTCGGTCACAATAGTACGCGAACAGCCGGTTGCTACCGGTAAGTGAGGAGGTAAGAGAGTGCGGGAGCACTCTGCGGAGTCGAGCTTGACAGGCTACTTGAAGTAAATTGTTGATAAACTACATGCAGAGAAAGCTGTTGATAAACTACATGCAGAGAAAGCTGTTGATAAAACTACATGCAGAGAAAGCTTCAAGCTACTGAGCTCTCCTCCTCCTCCACGCCATCCGCCTCGCTGCTGATCCGCACCAGACCTTCAGTCTGCATCAACGTGAACTGACTGGACGAGGAGGACCAGAGGTCAAGCCACTCCTCCTGCCCCTCCTCTCTCTGCGTCTCCTTCTCCGTCGCGTTCTGCACCTCCTTGACGCCTCTGATTCCCATCATCGAGATCCTTGCCGGCTTCCACGGGCCCCAGCGGCTCTGCAGGTGAGAGTTGAGCTTGTGCGTGCACCTGTTGCTGCACCGTCCGTCCTCGTCCAGAAGAGCCTCGACCCAGCTGATGTCAACCCCACGAGGAGACTTCCCGCCTGTCCCTTCAGCCATCGGCGCGTGAGGCGAAGAGACCTTGCTCACGTCTTGCAGCACTGCAGTTCTCAGCTTGTCCATGTCCTCACTCCTCACGGCCCTGCTGGAGTTTTCCTCCACCTGCTCCTTGTGGATCAAGCTGGACAACGTGGAAGCCCCAGAGATCTTTGGTAGGAGCGAGCCTCCAGGGCCTCGGGCGGACGAATTCAGAGCAGCCTCTATGTTGGAAGCTGCGTCATTCAGTCCAGCGCTGCTCCATCCCCACTTCCCCCGCCTCTGCTCCACCCACGGTGACTTGCATCGCTCCTTCCAATAAAGGAAATCCCCACTGATGGCCGGAGGCTCCGGCATGTCCGACTTTCGTCGATCAGCTTCAGGCGTCAAGCCATCACGAGCAGCCGCGGCAGCTGACTCGGGACCCTCGTTGGAGTCCAACGACCTCGACCAGATCCCCGTCTTCGTCCATAGCGCCCAATCCACCTGCTGAGCTCCCTCGACCTGCTGCTTGTAAGTTGCGAGCTTTCGGGATCACGTGACGGGCTCACCTCAGGCGCGGGGTGGTTAGCAGGGAGTGCGAGGGAGTCGGAGGAGTGGAGAAGGTCCTGGCGTTACCAAGCGCGTCAACTTCTGCCACCTCAATCGCCTCCAGGAGACCTCCGAGTGCGACAATGCGTGAACCGTTGAAGTCGACGAGGAGCAGCTGAAGGCGGTGGAGTCAACCTGCAAGCGCAAGTTCATCCCTGCCAACCGTCGCGTTCCTCGTCTACCGTGCCCGATGATCCTGGGCTGCCGCACTCGACGAGCTTGTCATGAACTTCTTCTTCAGGGAAATGGCAGAGAATATACTCCACCACCCTCGGATCGAAGGAGAGAAATTGATCCATAGCCTTCCGCTGCATTGCTCGCATCTTCCGCCGGGAACATTTCAGAGTTGACCTGTCAGCCTCTTTCAGTGCTGTGAAGTTTCACAAGCAGGTCCCTACCCATCTATAACTTCTCCCGTGGGTTTTCTCAGTTGATCTTCAGAGTGCCTGCCCTTCACTTCAGCATCAAACAAAACCAATAAATTTCCCTACGCGAAGAAGCAGATCATGCGGTTACATGCCTTCCCTTTGCTGCAAAGGGTTGTTCGATACCTGCAAGATGGTGAGACAAGGCAGCCTGACAGCTTCGAGGGGACGCAACCTCTGGGGATGCAAGCCTCGCTCCCACACGCCATGAGCAAACAGGCATTTCTCTCCTCTGGAGCATCTCATGTTCTTCTCGTACTCTGCGCAAGGATTGGCAGAATGAGTTGCCGGGTTTCTCCTGACAGGAAGGGATATTCAGTGAAGACCTTCAAAAGTGAGCGACTTCCTGACCTCTTGGCGATTTCTCCTTCGTGAGTGTATCGGCATTGCGTCCAATCATGAGGTGATGGATCCGGACACATCCGCAGTTTGAAGACATACATGACTTCGACATCTTCCATCTTCTCTTTGCTAAAGATCGAGTTGGCTGCAAACCTGATCTGAGAAACAACCTCGGGGTCCAAAGAATCGAACAATCGGGAATTCTTTACTTCTGTGTTCACTTGCGAACTCAGAGGTTCCATGTCATCATCAGGAATGGGCTGCAACTCGCAGTTTTCGTAATCTATCTCTTCAAAGATGCTTTGGAGCGCACATTGTTCCAAGCATTCCTCAAACTTCTCGGTAACCCTCGAAGAATTTTCCCCCGATGATTGAAGCTGGTTTGTTTTCGCACTGGATGGTGAACGCCATGTTGTCTTGGGTGGCGTTACCCAGGAATGCGGAAGGAGGACACTCAACTGTCCCGGATCTAACATGGAGCCGAACATTGTATCAACTTTGATCTCCAGTCAAAAACGAGGCCAAACTGCTGATGAGTTGTTGAAGCAACAAAGCGCCTACCAATTATCCTTTATAATCTGTGCGTGTTGAATTACAATGTCCTGAGCACGACCCAACTCCTGGCAGGAAACCATCTTTCTGATCATCATCTCGGAGAAGAGGCTTGGGATCACAAGCCTCCCTGAATCCAAAAGTCAGTGGTGGATTGCGGTACTTAAACGAACCGTGACAGCCCTGAGGAAAGCTATGTTGCAAACTTAACTCGATCTTGTCTACTTCGATATAGTCTTCCTTCACTGTTTCAATCAACCGCCGACCAAGTGTGTTGCTCATACTCATTTGCACATTCTGTCTGCCCTCTATTCCAACGACGGTTCTAAGTTATCCACTAAAGAGACCATGCAAGACCCTCGTCTCCCAGATCTCGTCTTGACTTGCTCTTTACAATCGATGTTAGCAATTCCTTCCCGATCCGATGTAACATGTTCTAGTTTTACAGCACATTCTTGAATCGTTTTTCGGTCTCTTCTCTTGTCCTGAATGGTTTCCTTGTGCTTTTGCAGTGTTTCGCTCCTAATCTTGTCTTTTCCTTACATCTTGTTGTTTTCGCTTGGTAAAGCTATTCTGCTCTCGCTATGTTCTCTACAGAACGTGATCTTCTCTGCCCCCCTACATCTCTGCTCTTGTACCCCCTTTCGCTCCCTTCCATTCCATTGGCTGCTTGTTTCGCCATGATTTAGATTCAGTTTCATTCATAGCTCCTGCGCTACTACCCCTACGGACAGACCCTTCCAACCCACCCCTATTTCCAACTCTCGACTACCCTGACCACTTCCACCCCTCGTTTCTAGGGTCCTTACTAGTGGATTTGACTACCCTCTACTACCTACAACACTACCGGTACCTACAACTTTACCCCCACCCCACCCTCCATCTGTTTCTTTCTTTTCCTTTTTTTGCCCCACCTGTTGCTCTCGGACATTTTATAACCAGTGGCTCACGTTCGCAACCCTCAATTCCATCAAGTACCCCACCCCCTTCTTTCCTGCCTTTTGGCACTCTCTAGACCCCCTTCACAAACCATCCTTGACCACCCACCCCTCCTGAAAACTTAAAATATCAAAATGACCCTTTATATCATTAAAATTATTTAAAAAGTCCAAATAGTACAAATAGATTCTACCAGTCACTGATTCAAAATGTACAAAAATCAAATCATAAAATTGTAATTTGTAGATCAGAATGGACCCATAGCTAAAAAGAGCGGCTATAAAACATAGTTTACCGTACAGTGCTATATTGTACTGTACTACTGTACATCCTCCAGTACTGTCCTATGTACAAGTGAGATCGCGGCGAACAACCTTTGAGTAGTTTTAGTCTTTCTTAAAAAGTAATTTTAGTCTTTCTTAAAAGTCTTTCTTAAAAAGGATCCGATGATCCGATGAGGCGGGCCTGTTCTTCGAGTTCAGTGACGCGACCGGGACCGGGAGACTGACGGCCCGGCCCGTCACTGAGAGTCATAAAAATCGCCCAACCGGAAACTTCCGAAACAGTCCAGTTCCTATGACCTCCCTAGGAGCCCCCTAGACCGTACTAGGACCTGAAAAGGACAGTACGGAGGCAATTTTAGGACTACCCTACCCCCACTATGACCAGACATTGGACCCCCTTTCGGGGAGGCATATCCTCAAATTGTACCCTACCCGTGGTTCCTGGTTTCAACCACCCGTGTGTCATGCCTATGCTGACTTGATGCGTGTGGTAGGGGTCGGAGGGAGATGGGAAGAGGGGGAGGGAGAGAGGGGCATGCAAATATGTATGTATGTATGTATGTATGTATGTATGTATGTACATGTACGATCTATGTATGTAATGTATGTATGCATGTATGTATGCGTGCATGTGGGATCTATGTAGAGAACGTGTGGAAGATGGATGGGTGGTAATGGACGGGGGACGAAAGGGAGGGGATGGAAGTGAAAGAAAGGAGCGGAAAGGAGGGATCTGTGGTGAAGGAAGTAAAGCATGAAAGCACCATGTTTGTTTATCAGACAGATCTTTTATTATTGTCTCTGATCTTTTGGTATTGAAATCGTTTTTTTGTTGTCTATGATTCTTTGGTATTGAAATCGTTTTTTGTTATTGAAATCGTTTTTTTGTTGTCGCTGACCTGGTTCATGCAGATGCATATCGTCTGCTGGTTTCAACTTGAGGAACATCTGAGTGCATTACGATGCCACACTGATATGGAAGCCGAGAAGATTCTCTCTGATAGAACAGATGAATTTTTGTTTGCTCGAGTCTCCTCCAAGGTACCATGATACGACGGAAATCAAGAGGTGTGCGCTGGTGGATAGCCGCGCTTGTGTGGAGATGTCTAGGCTTGCAGCTATCCCTTGTGTTCACAGCACAGGTTTCAGCTTCACTCGTGCAGGTCCCACACCCTTCCAAGTGCCTGCCTGCTGCGTTCAACCTCTCGCGCTGGCCGAAATCCTCTCAGAGACGAAGTCTGACGTACCCCAACGGTTCTGCCGTCAGCGTCAGCCTGCCCTTCGAGTCATGGTCGTCAGCCCGAGTCTTGGCGCAGATCGCCTTCATCCTCCTGGACGAGGTCATGGACTACCGCACAGTCGTGTGGGATGGCGCTGGTCTCAACTCTGCTCAACCTGTGAACTATGCAGCCGGTTGCAAGGACCCTGACAGCACAACCTGCACTGTCTCCAACATCCAAGATCCCTTCCTTCACATCACCCTTGAGACCTGGTCGTTCGGAATTCGTCGAGTCTTCACCTTGCCACGGGACGTGCAGCCTACGCTGATCTCTGTGCTTGACTACAGCACGATCGACTCGTTGTTCATCTGGAACAGCGTCCTGCAGGCTGGAAAGCAAGATGGAATTGATTTGAACTACTACCAGCTCTACGACGCGAAATACTTTGTGCAGAGCAAATACTTTGACTCCTGGCAGCAACTGCTCAGTCTCATTCCGCCAGGAACAATCGAGACATGCAGCGAGCTGGATGCAGGAACTTACGCCAACACAAGAGAAGTGGAGACATACGTCAACGTCACTGGCAACAACGACACTGCCTGTTTGGACGACAAAGTTTGGTTTTCTCCAGCCTGCCTCATGCTAAATGACACATCGCTGTGCATCCCATTGGTAGCGCAGTACAGCGTCTACTTGTACATGCAGTTGACCTACTGGCTGGACTTTCCTGTAGCCATGGTGAAGATGAGGGATGGGAAGCAGAAGTTTGATGATGCGTATTACAAGGTCGTCAAGTCAGGCAAGTTCTTGTTCGGTTGGTATCAGCCCGATGACAATCTGCTGGGGATCAAGGACGACTTCCCTGTCTCCCTCATGCTTCCTCCCTACAATGCTCTGGAACAGCTGCACGGAGTGTATAAGACTGGCAACGAGTTCATCAAGCCGAGGAACTACGTGTGGAGGAAGCTGCCATCTGTTGACCCTCACGTGACTTTCTTGGCGACCAGCTTGAACCTGTACGATGAGGACATGAACTCGCTAATGGCTGAGAGCGGCAAGATGAAGAATGTCACTTCCGACGTCTACCTCTCCTCCTGGCACGTGGCCTGCAACTGGGTCAAACAATCGCCTGCGGTGTGGGAGCAGTGGATCCCAGCCATCTGTGCGCCAGGACAGACAGCAGACCCCACGCTGTCGAACTGTGTGGCTTGTCCAGCTGGGTTCTACTGCGAAGGAGGCATCCAGCTAGCACAAGCCTGTCCCAAGGGCGCTTTCTGCCCTGCTAACTCCTCTGCTCCTCAGACTTGCCCGAGCGGTTTGCAGACGACGAGAGACAAGATGACTAAGGAGAGTGATTGTAGCGACTGCACAGGCGACAACTACCTCATCAACGGCAAGTGTATGTCGCTGTCAGTCTTGGTGATATCAATCTTCCTTCCTCTTGCTGTCTTTCTACTGTCGTCAGCCAAAATCATGAGGGTGCTTCAAGAATATTATCTCCCACAGGACGAGAAGCTGTTGATGTCAACGATGGAAGAATTGAGGAGCCAGTTGCTGATCAACAAGAAGTACGGCTTCTACCTCAGCAACGAGAGCGTCGAGATTTGGGTGGACAAGCAATCTATCACTTGCATTCAGTCGGATGCGATGGAGGCGGCATGCCGGCTGGCTCTCTTTCAAGAGGATTTCGATCTTTTCTTCTTTGACAACTTTTGCGCCACCTTGTGTCAGGTCGAGCGATACAACTCACAAGAGGAGGAGGGAGAGATCTCCCTGCAGCAGGAGAAGCTGCGGGAATGGCTCATGTCCATGGCTCTTGTGCTCCTTGACAGAAACAGTCCGGATCAGAGGATACAAACCGAGGATAGAGGAGGCCCAGGATCGACCGCGGCAGGAGCCTTGTACTTCGCGCAGGATGTGACGGAGACTGCCACGGTGGCGTCAGTCTCGGACGAAGAGCCCGGGGCCCGTCGGTTCCGATTCTTCCTGGACAAGTTCATCAGGGCCAAGGTCTGGATGGAGGACCAGGAGTTGTTCGAGAGGCTGAGAGAAGCTTGCCGGGAAAACGTGGAGGCGATGAGAGCTGACTGCGAAGCGAGGTTCTCTCAGCTCATCAACTCTCCCAGCGGCTCTCGCCTCGAGCAGTTGAGCTGGGACAAGGAGGACAAGCAGATTTTCTCTTCTCCCAACCCCAGCAGCGAGAGAGGAAGGACCCTTTCCTCTTCGTCGATGGAGTTGAACATGTGGGACAAGTACTCCAGTGGTTTCATGGAAGGAGGAAACAAGAAGACTCTCCATCTGCTGCGACAGGATTCTTACCAGGTGTCACCGGCCTTCCTCGTCCTCCTCATTTCTCTCCCGCCCAAATCTTCGCCTTGCTCTCGTCCTCTCCCCTCGCTTTCTCTTCCTGTGGTATTGATCATCTTGTCTAGGTCAGAGCCATCGAGGTGGACGAAGCGAGCAGGATGGAGTCGAGGATCTCCTTCAACAAGCTGGCAGAGAGCGGCGAAGTCTCGTGTGTGAGGGAGGACGTATTCATTTCACAGCTCCAGCAGCTCGCCAGCAGGTTAAACTCTGCCTTCCACAAGGCCATCCTCGACATCATTCTCAAGCACTGCCGCACTCAGATCAGCTCTGGGGTCACTTCCTCTGCTCTCCTGCAGCGCAGGTCCTCTCAGATCTTCTCTTGCCAGATGCTCCACCGGCAGGGAGAGATTGCCGCCGTCTTCCCCAGCTGCAAGACTGTGAAAAGTATGACAGAGAAGCTCAAAGACTTCGGTCCTCCTCACCCAGCAGCAGTCTGGCCCTTGACCGCCAACGTGCTCGACCCCGTAAGGATGTGCATCATCTGCCAAGACGCAGCAGACATGCTGGAAGTGGTCTCGTGGCTGGAGGAACACCAGCGGCAGCACTCGGACCTCAAGATCTGTGAGATCGTCAACGGGTTCGGCAAGGAGGAGGGAGGCGCTCGATGGCGCGGGCTGAAGGTGCTGGTGCTGTTCGAGGACAGGGGAGGGGGGGGAGGGGGAGGGGGGGAAGGGGGAGGAGGAGGAGGAGTAGGATGCCCAGGTCGAGGAGGGGGAGGAGGGGGGGGAGGAGGCCGCATCATCGGGGAGGTTCAGCTGCAGGATAAAGAGCTCTTCGCTCTCAACTCGAGGATGTGCCGACTTGCGACGATGATTCGGTCGCCGACTATGGAGGAATACTTGAAGACCCTTGAAGCCGTCGAAGAGCAGTAGCCGGGTCATGTCTGTTTGTAAATAATGAGAGGAAGAGAATCTGGTGTTAGTTTTTAAGTTTCAGGGTTCTTTTGTTGGTGAAGATTGCTATGACTCTTTTGCTCCTAGTTATAACATGATCATCGCATCATGATGATCATGATGATCATCATGTCATGATGATCATCATGAACTTAACTTTCATCATCATCATCGTCATGTTGATGATGATGATGATGATGATGATGATGATGATGTTGATGATGTTGATGATGATGTTGATGTTGATGATGTTGA